CGGGCTGGAGTCCGGCAGCCCTAAGCGCGGCCCGCTCCCCTGACCCCCGTGCCGGGGTGACGCCGGCGTGGAACCCGGGGGAGAGAGAGCATCTTTCGGCTTTGCTCCTCTGATTTTAAACGGGGGGGGGAGGGTTGGGAGAAGGGCCGGGCCGCCCCCCCCGCCACCCCCCCCAGATGGGGCTCGAACATCCCGAGAGGGCGGAGGGTCTCCGTCGGGGGTCTTTCTCGGACCGGCTTGGGAAACGCGTGCTTGCCCGAAAGGGCCGCCTTTTTGCCCGCGAGAGTCCGGAGCAGGGGCGCCTCGGTCCCGCTTTGGCTTTTTAAAAACGGTCCGTGAGTTTCTGAGGCCGAAAACGGATTTCCTCTTCTTCTTTGTCTTGCCCGCCCCCCATCCCCAGAAGAATGTGCCAGAGGCCTCGTGGTCTCCTGTCGGTGGTACGGACTTGGGATGATGGTACTTGGGAGGAGGGATGATGCCCGGTTCCAGTTTTCTGGGTGAGGCTCAGCCCGTTGCTCCGCTGCAACCCAGACGTGACCAGGCATCTTGTGTAGCCCTAAAGCTGTCAGGTTTGCTTTGCCTCCGAAGAGGTTGGCAGGGAAAGGGGTTCCCCGACAAAGCCGGCTAGTCCCGAATATGCCGCCTGGGACCGCTTGAGGGTCTCTAAAGTTGTGCCCAAGAGCTCTACTGGCCAGGCCCTGCTTTGGGCAGCCCCTCCTTCTGTCTCTTTGCCCCCCAGTATCTTTTCCTTTTCCGCTTCTTAAAAAATGGGTGAGAGCGAGCTTTCTGTTGCCCCTCTTCAGTTTCTCTGAGGTTTTCATGTTTTATTGATGGATCGAGAGCGTTTTCTACCCTGGCTCTCAGAAGGGCCTCCGTATGGATGCGTGCCCTTCACGGCCCGTCTCTGCATTTGCGTGGAGGGTCTCAAAAGGAGAGAAGGAAAGGAAAAGGGCCCACAGCATAAAAGGAAAAGCAGAAGCGGAGGGCAAAGGAAAGCTAGAAAACTCTGGCACAGACCCTTTCCATGTCCTCATGCTGATATGGGGAGAGGGAGAAATGCTGGCTCTGGCCACCCCCACCCCCCCAGAAGGACTTTGCTGCTCCCCCCAAACCCCATATCTG